GCGGGGTGGGGGAGGCACTGCGGAGTGGTGGGGGGTGGCCCGAGGGGCTGGGAGAGGGTCCGGCCCACGCTGCGCCTGGGCTGGGACTGGTCCCGCCGGCGCAGGGTAGCAGGAAACTCTCTGCACAGTCACCGGACCTGGGCTAGGACTGGGTCTAATCATACTTCTTTCACTCAAGTGTTAAGGACAATACTTAAACTTCACTATGTTTTGTAAGACATTTTCTCCAAACCTATGACTATATTTAAACTTTAACCTATGCTTTTGAAAATCACCTAAAGTTGATTCCCCAAAACAAAAAGTTGATAAAGCTGTAATTGTTAACAAATGAAACATTTCCTAGGAATTAGACTTCAGGACAGAATTATTTTATAAAATATAAAATTTTTAAAAATGGTTATTATCCTATTAAAAATAGCATTCATACAAATAGTGTACAAAAGAAGAATGTTCTCATTCAAAGAACTGTTCTTCTCATGAGTCACCCAAATAGAAATTCTTTTCAATGTCTTTGAACCTAAATATCAAATGAGAATACATGTAAGCCAATATAATATGGATGGAAGTTATTATTCTGTATCATCTTGGCCAGTGAAAACATTTCCATCGGATTCACAGTAATTTTTCCCTTTGCAATTGAGTGAATTAGACCCAACCAACAGGACAAACTTCAAGTTATTTGTTGAGGATGGAAAGGTCACAAAATAGACAACACTCCAGTCATTGAAATCCAGCAGGTGGATCAAACAACAACTGATCTGATTAGGAATTCCAGCACTGAGCTTGACTAATGGAAGGAAATATAAATTCACATGGAGCTCTAATGACTGCTTTTGTTTATCTGTTCCTGAAGTTAATCTCAACTTGGCTTTAAAATATCACCTTAATGATTCCTGTAAAAAATAAAATTTCAGATTTTGAAAACTGAGAATGTCCTTCATGATTTTTAACATATAAATAGAATATAACGTGCAATATTATCAATTATAATATTATACAATAAAATAAACCAATAAACCATGTTCTTTCTACATTGTTTTTGGTAACTTATATATATTCACATGATTTTATTTGAGATATCTTTTTAGCTACTGCAAAATCTGAATTGAGACTGCTTTCTTGGCTTAGAAAACAATAATGTCAATCATTAGAAGGAGTTGTAAATAGAACTTTTCTTCTCGCGGTCTTTTCCTGGAGGGCTGTTAATGGAGACCAAGGACACTTTCGTTTCGCCTCTGAGAACCTCTCTTGTATTTCCTTTTCCTTCAGATAGCGGGTGAAAGAAATTTCCTTGGAAATTCTAATAGGAAGCAATTCCCAAGGAGGGACAAAAGGGGGTTTCTATTATTCTTCACCTGCACTTGGTCCATACGCTAAGTAAGCTTGGCAAAGAGTTTATCAGGAGCCAGCTCATCCTGGCCAACAGGGTTGTTCCCTGTGCTGAACAGGTGGAAGACATGCTGCAAATCTGAGAGTAAGAAACAGGGCAATAATTATCCATGTTTTCCAAGGTAAGTTGAAATTGTTTCTGTCCTTCAGACACACTGCAACAGGGGTCCTCTGCAGTTGTTTAAGTAGCAAACTTCCAAGTTCTCCAAGCCAGGGCTCCAAGTCTCGCCCATGCTGTGAGCAGGCAGGATAGGTAAAACAGAGCATCACTGATGCCATGAGCAGATGGCCCTGGACCAGTGTGAATTCTGTTATTCCCTAGCTGGCCTCAAAACACAGACAAGCTCCTATACACAAATGGGTGACTGCTAGAGGATTTAGGGGAGGCCATTTCTCACCTCTTAATCTTGGTCTTTGAGATTTGGGGCTCCAGTTGGTCCCCTAGACGGAGATAAATGCTGTCCTGGATTTCTTGTCCAATTTCTACAGCCTGAATCCTCCCTAAAGCTCAGTCTGTAGAAGTTGACAAGGAAGCCTCACTGCCTTTGTTTTGCCAGAGACATTATGCCTTTGGTAGCAAAGTCTTAGATCAATAAAACCTTGTTGTTGATCTGTGTTTGGAGATGTATCTTACCTAGAATCTTTAATGAGGGAGATTTTTCTAGGAAAAAAATCCTCCTTTTCAGATGGACTTCAGGGCTTGAGATCAGACAGGTAGTGGTAGCGGTATGTGTGAGTGTGTATGTGTGTTCGGCTAAAGCTTTCTTTATGGATTTTGAAATTTGAATTTTCTATAAACTATGTACTTTTATGTGTTACAGTTCTTTCCTCATTAAAAATGTGAAAGCAATTCTTTACTCCTGGGCTGTTCAAAAGCAGCAGTGCTGGTTAGTTGCAGAATCCTTGTTTGGTTCAGAGTTTCATTCTGTGGAGGAAACTGATGCTTTCATAGACTGTGGCTGGGTCCGGGCACAGTGCCAGTGTGGCTCCTGGAAGGGGAAAGGCTGGGGGCTGCCCATGGTCTATGGGGACTTGAAGGGGAAAGCGAACCCAGAACCTGTGAGAATCCGGGCCACGGTGGGGACGGAGCCCACCTGGGTGTGCAGAACCCCACTAAGGCAAAGTGCTGCTTTCAGTGAGAGGAAATTTCCAGCGCAGTGGCATCAAATTGGTCAAAAAAGTAAACATGTGAAACCTTACAGCATTGTTTTAGAATTGAATCTTTTATTTATTATTAAAACAAATATTTTGTGCAATTTTAGTTTCTCAGCTTTAGAGAAAGAAAACCAAAAAGAGGTTTTCAATACAACTCCTTTTACAATGAAGAGAGCAGACCTGTTTGACAATTTCTAGTGACACAATGACTGAGACAATTGTCATGCACGTTGGAGGAAATGAACCTTACTCCCCAGGACCTGATCTCCACTGAGGTGTTGCAAAAGAGCAAATGGGTAGTGCAGTGCACAAGCAGCTCACCACAGTTAGTAGTTCACAACTGCTCATAGCTCATGACCCGTTCTCTTCATCTGTACATCCAAGTGGAATAAAATGGCAATGTAAAATTTCTTGTTCTGAGGTAGGGTTGATTTTGTTAGTTTCATGTTCTGGATTTCTATTATAATTGTTATATCTCCTTTAACTCTGGAAGTATATAAAAGTCTTTCTGAATGTAATGTCCATGTTATATTTTATACTGTGTGTCTCAGTGTATGTGTATATTGAGGGATAGATTTATTGAGTCAGTTTCCCACTTTCCTGTTGGAAGGCAAGTAGATCAGTCTTTATACCCATGTAAATTTGGTTATCTTTATGTACATATAAGATTTTAATACTCAAAACCAGTGAAATTATGGAGCTTTTTTTCTTTTGCAGTACTAGGGATTGAACTCAGGACCTTGCACTTGCCAGGCAAGAGCTTATTCTACTGAGCTATCTTCCTGGCCCAAAATTATGCAGATTAATATAAAATAATTTTCATCATATCCAGCTGTAACAGAAAAATGAAAAATATTATAAAGTTGCTATAGTAATGCAATGTAACAATAACATAAGTAATTAGTGAAATCCAATAATTCTGGGGATCATTATGCATCAGTAGTGAAATTTTTAATGAATTAGCAAACCAAGTGAATTACTTATCCATTTCTACTTATGGAATGAAAAAACAAAGGACCTTACTGATATTCAAAGCAGCCATAATGAAAATAATGATGAATTATTATTGTAAATATATGCATATTAGTATAAGATACTAAATAAAATTAGCCTGCCTTTTTAAAAACTGGTTTCAGAGTATTGTAAATTTTATATATTGTTTTTATGTAAAATGTTCTTTGGGGTAAAGAGTCGTGTTCCTGCTTCTGAGTTACTTTCTCTTTCATGTTAAGTTTAGTGCTAGAATGATAAGGTAAAAATGAGAAAAAGAAAATCTTGAACCATAATTTCCAGTTGTTTTTGTGCACTTTCCCTTCACACTTGAACATTCCTAGAAACGTCCTGCCCTTCTCTCTTTCTGTCCTTGTAATATAAGTGCTTTAACTGTTTCTTTAATGGACTCTTCTCCATACTCTCTTGAAAGGTCAGAAGTCATCAGGATCATACTGAAGTCTTTCTCATTCTACATTTCCCCCCACATGACCAGCTCCGTTGCTGAGCCATCAGTGGCTGTCGTGAACCTCCAGCAACAGTGTTCCTAATAAATTCTAAGCTCAGATGTCCAACTAGGTATGCAAAGTTGCACATTGACTTCCTGCAGACGACTTATAGAAGTTATATTCCCAGGAAGACAAAAACTAGAGTGTAATACTTGTAAATAAAATGAGACCCAATTCAGTCATTGAACAATTAAGGTAACAAGTTGGAATCATTAAATTGGGCTTTTGAGCAATTGATCAAATGGCAATAGAAGAGAAAGAAAAGAACCAGGATTCAATTAAAAATATGAATCAGTGTAGAAATTGACTTTGTCTCTTTGGGCCAAAGATGCTCCCTTTGCACATAAATGCAAAGACTGAGAAGGAGATTTTCTGTGACCCAGCACTGACTCCACAATCCTGAGCTTCCTGGGCTTTCATGTTGCCATGTGGATAAGGACAATAGTAGAGCTCACTCTCTGCTTCTTTTGTTGGTGGCTTCAGGGACTCAGTGGGCTGGCTGTGCACCTGGTACTTGATCATCTTTAACTAATATGAAAAATGAGAGTATTCCTTATTGGTAAAGGGAGGATAGATTTTTCAAATTTTACCAAAAGCATTTGCTTAACAATAAATGTACAGTTCAGATATTTGGTTCTTTTAACTAAAGTTGTCTTAATTATGTAACTCTATTAAGTGAATGGAAGTATTCTTTGAAAGTAGGTCTTGCTTTATCTTGGTCTTAACCATCTAGCAGAAAAGTATAAAAACGAGATATAAGAAGTAAAGCCATATTAATATGCTGAGCTGTAAAAGGCTGTGGTCAACAAGTTCTGACATTGCCAGTTCTATGAATAACCCACTACTATTATGGACTACTGTACTATATTGGATTATTTTGCTGAATTCACACACTCACAATATTTAAATGGCAATGGAATACTCAT